GAGTCCAGGTGGGTGTGGCCCATTGGCAGGGTGTGGCCAATTGGGCATGGCTGCAGTGGTAATGGCAGACTGGGTGGGACTAAAAAGTTCAATCAATCAATTCCAACTTTGCAAGAATATTTTTTTCCCCACGAGGTTAAAATTGACTGATTGAACCTTTTTTTTTTTTTTTGCACACGGCGGCGGAGGCCTAAAGCGAAAAGGTTTTATAAAACCCAGCTGAAGGCCTAGCACTGGGGCGATGACGCGCGTGCCCACAGAGAGGGCTCTGAGTGCCGCCTCTGGCACCCGTGCTATAGGTTCGCCACCACTGATCTAAGGTCATTATGCCACATTTGACCCAAGCAGCAAACAGGGTGGTTGGAAACAGAAAAGCTCTGGAAAACTTCATGGCCGGAGCAACTGAAGAAAAGGCATAAGGCTGGCATGTGACTGGCATTGAGTGGTAGGGCTGATGCTGTGGCCTAGGCCTCTGCTTCAAGCCCAGCATCGGCCTGCCACTGAGTGCTGCTGTTTAGAGTAACCCAAGATGGGGGAAAGATCATTATTTCTCATTTGTTCAAGACGTGTGTGTGTGTGTGTGTGTGTGTGTGTGTGTGTGTGTGTGTGTGTGAGAGAGAGAGAGAGAGAGAGAGAGAGAGAGAGAGAGAGAGAGAGATTGGGTCTTATGATGAGGTATTTGTAAAATTTATGTGTGCCTTTCCACATTAGGATGAGTACTCAGTGGTTTTACAAGCTTTATGTAATAGGCCAAGTAGCCCTATTGCTAGCATAAGCAACAGTATGCTATATAAAAATCCTTTACTGCTGGGTTTCCATGTCTTCATCTCTTCCTCTTCATGACTGAGTTTTAAATAATCCTGAACTATGCCAAGTTTACGGTATTTCCCTTCTGACATCATCCCAGGTGAAGCTTCAGATATATAAAACCTGTTAAAGCTTTGCTCACCTTGGAGGGAAGTTAAAATAGAAGCCAAGTAGGAGTTTACAGTGGAGATTGCAAATGCCATGCTGATAGTAGGTTTTTTGCCAACTCAAAGAATGGGTGACAGCACTAACAAAAAGACAAGTGGTGAAGTTTGGAACAAAAGAAGGTTTAAACCAAAATTACTTTTTTCATTAAAAAAAAGTTTATTGCAAAACTCACTATTTGGTAGCACTTCCAGAATCCACTAATTTACAGTACAGAATAAATCAGCATCCTGCTTCAACCATGCTTAATCCTGATTTTGAATATCTTGTTCACATGCATGCGTTCTGATCACACCAATATGTTATGTACATACATAAGTAACTTTAGATGCCGTCAGTTACATACATTGCATTATTTAGTATTGGAAATATTTGTAACAACATCACAGTAGAACTTCGTTAACTTGCAGAGACAACTAATTTTTCCAACTACATGTCAATATGCTTTTCCTCATATAGATTGTCCTTGTTTAGTGATTGGAACTGGTTCTGGTGAAATGATCACTAAGCAACACAGTCACTAAGGGAATCAAGTGACTGAAAGAGGGAGAGAGACACAGTGGTGGTGCCTTCTCATTCAGATCAAGTTATCTTATACAGCAGTGTTTCTCAACCTTGACAATTTTAAGGCATGTGGACTTCAACTCCCAGAATTCCACAGTCAGCATTGCTGGCTGTGGAATTCTGGGAGTTGAAGTCCACATGCCTTAAAATTGTCAAGGTTGAGAAACACTGTTATACAGGGTCTGTACCTGATCTCTCCCCCTCCACACACCCTTTTTGCATGACTGTGAGATTGCTTAAGCAAGTTATCCCTTCCTAAACTGTTTTCTATGCCCTCTGAACTCCCATAAAAGTGTTAATTGCAAATTCACAAGCTCAGTTTTGTAGCCTTAATTATAACCCACCTGGTACCTGTTGCCTGAAACTGATCAGATCGTAATTAGTTTCACACTGAAGGTTTTTATTGTGGTAAATGCATTGGTTAGAATATGATTTTTTTATTACTGTTTATTTGGCAAACAGTCACTGTTTGTTGCTAAAGAAGAACTACCTGTATTCTGGTAGTTTTATATTAGAACTACAGTTTAGATAGATTAAGCCAGAAATAAGTATGAAATCAGCATTTGCCATGACTGTGGCCTTTTATTCCAAACATGGTTTTAAGATTTACATTGCTATACCTACCTTACATTTTCTGCTTTACTAGGAATGTAACAAGTATATGGTATGCTTGCTAGATAAATAACCAAGTTTATTAGCATAAGCCTCATATTTTATTACTTTATTTGCTACCAAAAAAATCCAGAAAATCTAGTTATTCCCTCCTCCCAGTCTCTCTGCAGTTTATCGAGGCTCTACTGTACATGATAAAGTGCTGAAAGTAAACAAACGATCCCAAATTGCAACATACTGTATGTCTTCTTAATTTTCCAGCAGGGAGATAAGATGGATTGCTTAAGATACAGGGACACCATGTCCTGTGCCTAGGGCATCTTGATAAAAGTAAAGGATTTTATTAGAACATAGTGCAAGTAAATAGCTCTTAAGATCAAGTTTTTGTTGTTTTATAAGAATATTTAAAATCAGGATGCTTTAAATCGTTTCTCTGAAAAATTTGCCAGCATTCACATATTTATGTCCTACATTGCGATGGTATAGATTTTGAACTTTTGTTTTCTTTTTGGGTTGCGTTTGTTTTTTGTTTTGTTTTTTGGTAGGGGCTTCAGGAAAACCCTATCAGGAATCACAGTGATTTTAATTTGTATAGTCTTAGTAGAATAATTGACATACAGTGCCATTATGAATGGATTATCAAGAAACATTTTGAATCTGTACTGTGTGTATTCAGAACAAAATCTTTTCATTTTCTCGTTTTCCCCTTGTTGTCTAGTGAGTAAAAGACATATAAAAGTGGGGTAAACAAGCTCGTATCACCTTTGATGATTATTTATTAAAAGTCAGTGAACAATAGTCAACATGTTGCTGCCACCTCTTAGAATTCCCTTTCTTTATACAAAACCTACTGAAAACGGGAGGTACACAAATTGCATTTTAAAAAGACTTAACTTTCTCTTTGTTGCATTTTTCTCTTTGCAGTGATTGTTACATTGATCCATGCACTAAATAACTGCAACGAATGGAGCTTTAAAACCAGGGTTACCAGATACTGGTATACTATAAAAATCTGGATGACTACTAGATCAGAGGTCCCCAACCTTTTGGGCACCAGGGACTGATTCTGTGGTGAAAGGTTTTTCTGTGGCCCGGAGAGTGCGTGGTTTTGTGTGCTGCCTGCATCCCATGGATGGGGCTTTGCTTGTTTGTGCAGACCGGTTGCTGGCATGCCGCGGCCCTGTACTGATCCACAGAACCGGGGGTTGGGGACCCCCATACTAGATGACAGCCCATAGTTAGGTTTAAGTATCTGTCTGCTGCCCTCCTGTGGTCACCTGGATTTTAAAAACATAGATCAGATAAACCCTCCTACTTCTCCAAGGCTTGGTTTATGCAGTTGGCTCTTTTAAGGTCCCAAGTATGGCTGCGTTGAGGCACATTGCCCAGTGGGAATTACAAGTAGATGACTGCTTCATTAGATTATATAGTTTCACCTTTCACGTGCACTCTACTGCAAGGACAACTGTGGTCATACAAATGGAATGACAAAATGTACAACCTTCATACGAAGGTACTGATGGAACAATCAGAGCTTCTATTTAACTCATAAAAAAACCCTACACATGAATGAGAGTAGAAGTTAACAAAGGTAAGAACAAGTCCCAAATATACAGCATGCACCTTCTCAAGCTTGTGCATAGAGGACTCCAAGCCTACAGACATAGACCTAACTGAAAGGTGATCCATAGTATAACCAAAGACAGTGGAATGTTTTCAGAATAAAAATGTTTTTCTCCCTATTCAGGAAACTAGTACAAGTAGTCCTCGACTTACAACAGTTCATTTAGTGACCATTCAGAGTTACAACGCATCACTGAAAAAAGTGACTTATGACTTTTTCCACACTTATGACTGTTGCGGCAGCCCCATGGTCACATGATCAAAATCCAGATGATTGGCAACTGACTCAGTGTCCCGGGGGGGTGTCATGTGATCACCTTTTGCAAACTTCTGACAAGCAAACTCAACGGGGAAGCCATATTCACTTAACAAATATGTTATTAACTTAACAACTGCAACCATTCACTTAACAACTGTGGCAAGAAAGGTGATAAACTGGAACAAAATGCACTTAACAAATGTCTCAACAACAGAAATGTTGGGCTCAGTTGCAGTTGTAAGTCGAGGACTATACTGAAACAATCTTAATACAATTCCATACATGCTTGAAATGTTTTACTGGATTTAAACCACAGCCTCCGTTACATCAGAGCAGACTCTCAAACTCTTATTAACTAAAGTCTTATTAACTAAGCCTATAGTCCTGTCGTTTCAATCTATGAACTCCAAAACAGCATGCAGTATCTGTGTTTCATTTCTTTAAATGGCTTGCAAGACTTCTGTAACCATAAAAATAGGCAGGCACACTATTATCTATTCCTCTAAAAAGCTGCATACTAGAAATGCATCAAGAAGACTTGGAAAGAGTTTGGGGCAAATGGTTTGTTTTAAATAACAGTTAATCACAAAATAAAAATAAATAAACTTTTTAAAAAAATTAAAACTGTAGAATCAGTGATTTGCCTGAATGTCAAAAGGCAAGTAAGTCTTTAAAAGTACAATCCTATTCCCGCACAATCGGAATTAGTCCTTCTGTGCTTGATATTGTGATTTTGAATATACTGTACCTACTCAAAAAGCAAGTCTCACCAAGGTTGCAAATTTTTGCACATTCAGTAGTGAATCTTGAAAAAAAAAACAGCACAACATATAAATAATCATACTTAAGATTAGGCAATAATTTTTATCTGCATTTTAAGGTAATACTGTTATGAAAGAGCTATACTAACTGGCCCTAAAATAGAACTGGTAACCTCCAAAGTTTTGTGGAGTTTAACCAACTTTTTAAAAAAAAGCACACAAAAGCTACTGTTAATTCTCTAGTGAGTGACAAAAGTTAACTCCTTCCCAAGGGGTTGCTGGATTCCAATCCAAGTCAGGCTGAACAGGACAAGGAGAATTGGCTATCTGTTCCAAGTATAAATTTAACACCTGTTCTCCAAAATTAAAACACATAGCAGTTATACTTATTTGATGAAAAGAAACATCTCAAGACTGTTTCATCAGATTAGGTTTTTTTGTGGCACTATTCCTGTGTTGTTAATTAAGAGAGGAACATTTCTGGTGTGAGATTCTCCAAGGCAATAAAAAACATGGCAAACTTTAGCTTTTAATTAGATAAGCCATAGCTGATTTTTCTTTAGCATAACATCTTGCTTCTTCAATCTATGATTTGGAATTGAGATATTATGCTTTGCCTGCTTCCCATTAATAAGAACATTTGGATCACAACTTCATGCTCGGTAGGAGTGCGGGCATGGAATTAATCAATGGAACTTCACATGCCAGGTGTTTTCAAATAGTAGATAATATTAACCAGTCTTTATGAAAGGACCGCTAACATGTTCACCTTTATTGTGTTGCATTCCCTTTAATGTGTTAGTTTTTAAAAGGTGGACTTGAGCTGACTTATTTTTCCCCAATCTCTATAAATGTTTTAAAATTCAGGCTATGCTATCACAGCCCTTTACAGAATCCTCCGTTTTCCCAAAATCAATTTCTATAAAATCGTCCGGTACGTGCCGCAGTGACTCTGAGACATTCTTTTGTATTGATCGTTTGTTTCTTTGACATGTTAAATTCTTGCAAGGCCTCACCAATGAAAGGAATACAGCAGCCAGCAGCATTCCAGCAGCACAGGAATAGAATGCAGATCTGTAATTTTTTGTGGTATCCACTAGTACACCTGTAAAGCAGGGGAAAAAAAGCATGTTATGAAAAACTTCATACATAACCAGTTTGTCAGATTTTCTTCAGATTTTCTTTGTCAACATTTTCTTCAGATTTTCTGAGCATGACTATAGAACACCAAATCCAAGTTTAAAAACAATTGGAGGGGCTTAATAACTGAATTAAGCAGTTATTACATTATTTAAAAGGAAGGGAACAGACTTTTTACCAAACTGTGTTCCTGTGACACATGCTTTGGGGTTTGGGCCCATTCCAAATAGCTCAGAATTGTAAACAATCCTAGAAATGGTATTGAAGGTGCTCCTTGAACTGCAGCCATTCAGCTCATTACTACAATTATTTCCAAACAGTCTTGAAGATAAAATGATGACGGTTGTTTGTCTTGGGCATAGAAGTCAAATGAGATCATTTGCTCTATTGAAGTTTAATGATTTGTCTTTTGCTCAGGTTGAGTGTCCGCTTCTGTCTTATTTAACTTCCACATCCTTTAAGCCGTGGCTGGACAACTTGTGGTCTCCCAGATGTTTTGAACTGCACCTTTCACCATCCCTGTGATGGTTCCTGAGCTTAACAGTCCAATAACATCTAGAAGGCTATACAGGTCTCCTCTTCCTTTTTTACCTTCCACATGTAAACTTTGTTCCGATTCCTTCTTTGCCTGCATATTACAAAACTCAGAATAAAAATCTACATGGCTATAGTCAAGTAGAGATTTCTATGGCTTGTAAAGAGCTGGGTTCAAATATTAATCTAGCCCTGGGCAAACTCTCTTGTCACTGTTGGCCATCTGTAAAATAGAAACAACTACCCGTTTCTTAGTGTTTGAGGCATAAAATAATATAGAAATCTTGAAATTAAATCTGTAAGTTAAGATTCCATTGCTAATAATGCGATTGGTAAAGATGCTACTGTTCAACTACCTCCCAAGCAGATGATAATATCTCCAAGTGGAAGAAGTTCTTGCTGGGCAATGCTAAAATATTGGTTAGAGGGGGGGGAAAGTAGCAAGATTGTTTACTAACACTTAGACTTACGGTACATACTGCTTCACAGTGCTTTACAGCCCTTTCTAAGCGGTTTAGAGTCAGCATATTATCCCAAAAAATCTGGCTCCTCATTTTACTGACCTCGGAAGGATGGAAGGCTGAGTCAACCTGGAGCAGGTGAGGATCAAACTCCTGCGCAATCAGCAGAATTAGCCTGCAATACTGCATTCCAACCACTGTGCCACCACAGCTCTTTACCCATTAAATTGATCTAATTTCATTGCAATTAAAGTGAATAAATTTCAGACTAGCTTCTTTAGGGAGGCTGGTGAAAATGCAATGCTTATAAAACTACATGAGCTGCTAATGTAAACTCTTGTCTTCTATTATTGACCTAGAGTCCTTTTCATTAGGAGTATGTCAACTTCCTTCTGCTTTCCTATATATCCTATATACGTTGAATGGAATGTTCCCTGCTCACACAAGAGCACTTTTTCCTTTTTTTTTTACTTGTTCCTCAACTGTGATTTAGTATATATATTACCATCACAATAGAAAGCTGCCTAATACAGAGTTATGTAATAGGTCCACATTCAGCAGAATCTTGTCAAAGCTGGCTGGCAGCATTTCTTCACATTTTCAGTGAGGGCTTTTTTCAGCCCTACCTGATAACGACACATTGAACCTTGGGAAACAGGTGCAATTGTTATGGAGCCCCAGCATGGGTAGTAAGTAGAGAGCATCTAAGAAGATCTCTGAACTGCTGCTGAGCGTTACCTGCAATGGGTGGTCCAGCCAACCCTGATAAGCTTTGAATAAATACGTAGACCCCTGCAGCAGATGCCATCCTGTCAATGCCAACAACGTCGTCTTCAGCCAGCATGGGAATGTGTGTGCCTGCTACCGTCCCGAGCATGAATCCAAAGAAAACGCTACACATCATTAGCCCCCAAAAATTGTAGGCGAAAGGGAAGGCAAAAAGGGCAACGTCCAGCAGAATGACACAAATGAGTTCAATGTAAATTTTTCTGATGGGCTTTCTGTTGAGGACCCAGCCAGCGCCGATTCTACCAAAGACCTCAGCGATTGCCATCGCTGAGAGAATGTAAGCAGAGCGGTCCTTGCTGATGCCAAGGCTCATGCTGAGGGGAATTATGTATAGCGAGGGAGCAAAGAACCCCAAGGTAGCAAATAGACCAAAAAGCGCATAACATATAAAGCCGTAGTCTTTCAACACAGAGAAGTCTAGGAGTTTGAGTTTGGGTTCCTTGGTAGAAATGCTACTACTAGCTATGAACATCTCTGTGTTTTCCTTTGGTTCTTCACTTTTAAGTTCCAAGTTGGCATCTCTAGGTATGTTGTGAGGTGAGGTAGTTATTTCTACTCCCGAGTCAATGGAGTCTATTGAGGTGTGTGTCTGTTCATTTTCAAGCATGTACTTTGTCTCTCTTTGCTGTTCGACTGGTGATACTTTCACTACTTCTTGTGCTATGATTGTGATGGGTCGCAGCAGCAATCCACAGGCAACAATTCCAAGCTGCAGTAGACCAACAAACAAGAGGCTGGCTCGCCAACCAAAGTATTCCTTTGAAGCAGTGATAGCTGTAAACGTAGGAAAAAGTAAAATATATGAATGAACTTGGAAAATAGACACGTTTATAATAGTAAGGTCAAATTTTTGCCATAGTTTGCACATCTATAGTTTAGGGCAGGCATAGAATTCTTGGCTAATTCTTTTGGGATAGCTTAAGCATGAGAAACAGAAAGGGTTTTAGGGTTAGGGTTAGATTATACCAAGTGTTTCTTTGCCCAGATGAGCTTTGGTGCTTCTGAACTTTAGCACATACTAGACAGAAGTATATATGCTTCTGTCAGCTTAGAAAAACAGGATCAAATGCAGTTCTCTTACTTTTCTAAATCTATACTCTGTGAAACTAAAAACCGTTTCTTCCTCCACCATGATGGAATGAGTTACATGCAATAGATACGGAAGCTAGAACAGAAGTGGGAGACACTAAATATGGCCAAAATAAAGGTTCCAACATAGAGGAGGACTGAAAGCACATTTCATCTTAGCACGTCCAAGTAGGCCTGATGAATTCTAGTAGCCTACTAGAATTGCATCAAGCCATTTGGACATGCTAAGACCCCAGGATTTGAATTTCAGGTATGATGGGGGCCCCGTTCATCTTCCAGATATCCACATAGAGTTAAACAGTCTTTCTGCTATTAATACCACAGTTGGAATTGCAACTCAAGCTTTATTTTTAGTTTGGGAATTTTTTGCACAGGTTATATGTCATTTTATTAGTAAGAATGAGAACATGCTCTGTAGTAGTTTGAGCTCATGTCTAGAATAACGAAGGAGTCAAATCATGCCCCCAATTACAAATGTAAGCACAAATCCCCTTTTACAGTGTCCTTCTTCCTTTATATTTCCAGTGTAAGGATCTGGATATCCCTTCTGCCATCCTGCCCTCTATTTTTCTAAATCTCCCTCCCCCATCTCTTAGCAGGTGGTGTGATGTTTTTTTCTTAAGACTGGAAAGAAGTTCTAATTACTTGGGATATAATGAATGGATTGATCTCTGACTCTAATGAAAGCAGCATGCTTTCCAAGAACTTGCTATGCTTTTCTAGAAAATATATTTGAACTTGAGAATGTGATTAAATTTACATCCTGTCTCTTTGCACTCTTCCCTCCCAATTCTCCCCACAGCAATCCTATGATATATGTCGGGCTGAAAATGAAGGACTGGCCCCACCAAGTCATCCAGCTGGCTTCATGCCTAAGGCCCAACAAAAACTCATGGTTTCCTAGGTTCTAGTCTAATGCTTTTACCACTAAAACAAAATGACTCTCAATTGTCTATTTACTATTTCGGGCAGAACTGTATGTTCTCCACCATGTAGAGGAATGTAGAATCCACGAATGGGTTTTAGAAGTCCTCTAGCCCATTTAGACCAATCAATCAAGGTTGCCACGCTCCTGCAGGGTCTGATCATGCCCCAGTTTCTTTTGGTCTCAACCCTGAAGAGACGTGGAAATTTGGCTCCCGATTATAGCTTAGGAGGACAGGTAGTAATTATCCATTCGTGGATTCTTCGTTACTTTTTTGGGGGGGGACTGATTCAGCGCTGGGATCAGCGCTGCCCTAGTGTTCCTATTTTCAACATCAATTTCCTCCCCAGGCAAGCCTTCTAGGTTTCTTAAGATGCCCCTATGTCAGAAAAAGCAAAAAAAAACGTGTTTTTTACCTGGTGCAAAAGAAAAAACAGCAAAGCATTCTCCTGTAGAAGCCACGGCAGTGACCAATGAGCGCTTTTTGTCAAAGTACTGAGAGAGAATGGTAACAGTTGGAAGAAAGGCAAAACAGTATCCTAAACCTGTGAATAAATGCCAAATGTGTAGTATAAAGCAGTAATTAATATGCTCCTACAAGATCAGAAATATTTATTTTCCCCAACTGTATTTTTTTTTTTAAAAAAATTATTCACTCAGGATATACTGTCTGCTACTGATCATTTCTCTTGAAATTCTGACGTGTTTTGCTCATTCTTGTTAACAGGTAAAGTTTTTCAAATAATTAGAATGCGTTGTTGATACATTTGCCCTAATAAGCTCTCAAAATGTATCCTTGCTGTGTGAGTAGGTAAAGAGGTTGAAAATCCAGGTCTGCCTATGATGGCATTAACAACCAGGGTCACTTAGCAGAACTCAGAACTATGCAGATTTTTCTATTTCTGAGATATCTTGGCCTCTTCATACAAGAGCTACTTCTACTCCTGAATGTAAACATTTCTTGCAGATAGTTCGAAATTCCTCTAAAAGAAACTCACCCGATACTATGCCAATTGAGATGTACATTTCAACTAGTGTGCGTGCAAACGAAGCGGCAACCATTCCACTACAGACCAGTAGCCCTCCAATCATCACCACCAGACGGTGACCAAAACGATTAGCTACAATTGTAGAAAGAGGAGCTGCAGAAAGAAGGAAGATTTAATTGTTTATCTACATCTCTTTTCAGACCAGAACACTCGAACCCAGCCTAGGTGCTTTGGTTAGCAGGATCCTCCGAATCTCTATTCCCCTTATAACACCTTGTATCCATCAGCTGGGAACGTGGCAACATACATGTCACGGCTTCAGTGATTCAAATTTACCAGGCACCAGTGATTTACTTCTGATTATTTTAATTTTATTTTATCAGAGCAGTCCCAAGTGGTATGTCGTACATACACATGTTTTACATAATGTATGAGAACCAGTCTGCTAGTAAGAATTACAGCACCAGGCTAGAAATTGGGAGATGGGTGTTTTAGGCACAAAGCCAATTGGTGATCTTGGGCCAGTCACTTTCTCTCAGCCCTAGGAAGGATGCAGTGAGAAACCGCTTCCGAAAAACCTTGCCAAGAAAAGTGCAGGGACAAGTCCAGGCAGTTGCCGAGTCCAGGCAGTTGAGAAGACACCAATATAAATCATCCCCCTCACAATGTATATTTAATTAATAAATTAATTCCATAGTGGCAAATGGGCAAGTGTTCCAATAGAAATTCTATTTCTCAGATCCCATCAGGTGACATGGTTTGATTAACAGGTAACCAAAATATGCCAACTCTGCAGGATCAAACAGGATGGACATACTATACAGGACGGTCCTTCAAATATGTCTTGAATTAAGCCATCATCTAGAACAGTTATTAAACATAATATGCATAAAAAGTAGACTTTCTCCAAGAGCCCGATTGTAAATCAATGTATCCAGAATGCTATCCTTAATTGTTCTAATATTTCTTTCAGAATTATCTTCTTGAAAGACAAGAAGTTTGACTGAGTAAGTTTGACTGCAATTGGGACTGGCAAATCTGTTGTTATTATTATTATTATTATTAATTGCATTTATATCCCGCCCTTCTCCTTTCGGACTCAGGGCGGCTGACAGATGATAAAAAACTAACATAAATACATATTACACCTAGTTAAAATTTAATTAAAACGAAATATTTGAAAGTGTCCAATTAAAAGTAATTAAAACCCCTATAAAATCCCCTAGGCCAGTCCCGCTTGCTGGAACAACCACGTCTTGAGGGCGCGGCGGAAGGAAGGGAGATCAGGGATCACCCTGATCTCTGGGGGCAGTTCGTTCCAGAGG